CACGGCTTGGTGTCATCAGCGAACTTAAACAGGGTGCTCTCCACACCCTCGTCCAAAATGGTGGTGGGGCACTTCAACAAGCTTTAGTTGAAGCACCCTGGCAACCATTTTGAAGTACAGGGGTGCTGATACACAAGATGTTGCAGGTGCTTTAATTACAGCAGCTCCCAGAGCTGCTGTAATTAAAGTGCTCCTCTCTCCGCCCCAAAGCGTGTATAAAAACACCCATGAAATCTCAGTCCTTAACACCTACATCTTTCTGTCCTATAGATGAGTGGATATCAGCCAGGTAAAACTTTTTCAAAAACTTTGCTAAATTAACTATGACAACATTTAAAAACTCAAAAATACCCAAGAGCCTGCCTGAACACATACATAGACTCATGAAACCATATCACCAAAAGTATGGGCTTTTAAATTACTTCAGATTTCAAACACAGCTAACATGCTTATATAGAAAAATCTTGCAGCAATACAAAAGCAGCATATAATAAGGGTAGAGGTAAGCAATGACTGATTCTAAAACATAAAAAAGTAGTTAGTAGTTAGTGTGTATGGTGTACATTTTTGGCAGCAGCCAGAAAAATCCTAGCACTGTAATAGTTAGAACATGTATATAAAAAGTATGGAAGAAGTCCCAGTCTAAGACCCTCTTACTTAACTTTCAGATAGCTCTTTTTCAAGTTCAGTAGTAAGACTCCCCACACAACTAAATCTCAAACAACATAGACTTTTTTTTTTTAAACAGAAAATTTCAAGGGTAGCTCCTTGTCATATTGTTCCCTGAATTATGCAAATACAACATTCTTTTATTACACTTGTCCACAGCTTCAATGTTGTTCTGTGTTCCCTGCAACTCTTTTGCCAACATACCTGTTTCAGGCTCTCCATCTTAGACTGTCTCAGTTCTTCATATTTCCATTTCCACAGAGATAAATCAGACTCCATCTTCTCTACTTCCAGAAATAAATTCACTCTACAAAAATGTATTAACAAATATAATCACAAAAATATTCAAATAATCTAGTTATTACTTTAAACCTCCTCTGTATTGTTTCTAACTCTCTGCTTTTCTCCCTTCTAAATGTCTTTATTGCAAGATTTTTTCCCCACCACGGCATTTGCACAAATTTATCTAACAGATTTACCTATGGCAAAGAAAAACAACCTAGTATTGCAAAACATGAATGAAATACAAGGCTAAAAAGAGACTTAAACACACTTCAACCATCAATTCCTTTAACCTAATATACTATGTGAGGGCAAAAACTACCAGAGTAAATGCATCAAAGAGATGCAACAATCAAACAGAGCACTAAGAAAGGGAAGTGCACAATATACAATACCATTTGACAACTATAGTACTACATTCCAAAGTTTTCATTCTGTCCAGGCTGCTTTCCCTGTTTATACAAAGAATAGCAACTCTTTTTCAAGTATATTTTTTCTTTTGCTCCATTCCCCTTTCCAGGTAAATTTATTTATAATTGACTTGGCATATTTCTGCATCAGCTTTTTAAGTTCCTTAGAACTTAGTCCTCACTTGCTTATCTAGATAACTTTAAGGTGGTGGAGACCATGTTCAACACTAGGAAGATTATCTATCACTATCCATCTCTTCCATTTCACCTTAGTCATACAATCTTGAAGGAAACATCTACAAATGTGTTGTATCCAGTGCCTCCCATTCTTGTTTTAGCATTTCAAAAATGAAATTATTGACCTTGTACCACCGGGAAAGGCCTATCAGATTTCCTCCTATGGTTGGTGGGTAAGGAGCATTAAGTGTTACTGCTCTGCCTATGTACTTTTCACCAAAAGGCTAAGGACAGACATTCAAAAAGCCTAAGCCTGAATTGATTCAACCTTTGCAGGTTAGTCTGGCTAGGCTGAACCAGTTGGAAACTGGACAGACATTCTCTTTGGACTGAGGAAATTCAGGCACATGCCTGCAGTGGCTCAGGTTAGAAGCTGGGGGGTTCTAGAGCATCCCTCCCTTCCCTTGCACAGAGTTGAGCTGAGAGGGGTGTGGCCAGGCCCTGGCAGGACTTTCTCATTAGGGAGGTCTGCCTGCACCATCCCAAGCTTTTCCCTGCTGGCTGCTCAAAGGCTGGAAGAGTTATCAGCCCCCAGCCACTTGGCAGCACTCTGAGGCAAGAGGGGGTGTACAGTGCATGTATCTGTTGATGATATGGAGCTTTTCAATCTCCCTCACTGATTGTCAGACTGTCTGCAACAAACTGACAGGTGAGGTGAGCAAGGTAGCCCAGAGCTGATACGAGTCTTTATCACCTGATCAGCAAAGCAGTAGCCTCTCTCCCATTACTTCAAACTCTTCTCAAACAGCTTACTGGGGTGACCTGTTGATTAGCTGCAAAAGCCCTGTTCTCTCTGCCTGCCTGTTCCAATGAAATTGGAGACACACACACACACACACACACACACACACACACACACACACACACACACACACACACACACCTCTTGGCATTAGCTAGCACACTATATGCCTAGCGTCCATGGGGCTGGGGTCTGTGCTGTGGGAGATGGGAGGGAGAGGGGGATTCCTGCTTGAGTAGCAAAAGGTGGGGAGTAAGACGGGGAAGCCAGCAGACTCTGATGCATCTGCAGTCTCTGAAGAAGCTTTATACAGCACTAGCTAGCATACCACATGCTTGCTATGGTCTGTGCTGTAGGAGAGGGGGGGAAGGGATCCTTGCTTAAGCATCAAGTAGTGAGAGGGGAGGGGGGCACGGGGAAGCCAGCAGACCCTGCTGTGTCTGCAAGTCTGTGCCAAAGGACCTCTGCCCAGGGAGCAAAGGGGAGGGGCCAGCACTGCTGTGAAGCAGAGAGCCCCACCCAGCACAGAGAGCATGCTGAGATGTTGGGGGTGTCTGGCTTATCTTGAAACAGGAAGGGGTCTGGAACAGACACTGCATAAACCAGTTTGAGCCAAATCAGTTAAGTCTTATACTACATTCAACCAGGTTGATCTGAAACCAGTTTCAGACATTTTCAAATTGGTTTGTGTGCATTAAACATCTGCTCTGTTACATGTTTAAACCAGTTTCTGATCACTTAAACCAGTTTATGTGTAATGTCTGTCCTTAGCCAAAATGCTCATCTTTTGTGCTTTACCAGTGTCTTAGAGATCTCAGACTCTTTGCACTTGCAACTTTCCATCCAGCTTCAAGGATTTCTCCAGCAAAAATCAAGCACCACAGTCTGGGGTATTTCAGCCAGATGGGTGGCAAAGGATTTTTTCCTATGATTCCACTGCTGTGTTTATTCTAGAAAATATAAAATATTTTTATTTGAAGAGGGTCATCTGACTGGAATTTAAATACTTAAGATTTTTTTTTTGTATTTATCTCCATTCCTTACACTTGGGTATTTTGTAATGATATAGTCAGTCTAACCACTTTTTCTGAGAACAGGCAGAGAAGTACCACAAGATACTGCACAGAACATATGTACTGTGCTAAAATAGAAAACATAAATGGTTTATTTTAAATATTAAAAGACCAAAAATGAAATGCTTTAAAATATTGTTTGTATTCCCTATCTATTTCAAATGTTAATTGCTCCTGAAAGAAGGTGTTAGAAACATTTTCAAAATACAGATCCATTTAGTTCAGAAGTAGTACATTCTCATTAAAGTGACAACTGAAATATTTATTTGCCTCCAGGAGGATACTTGAGCATGAAGTTCTACTCTTCCTACATCCAGACTAATATCTAAAAAATATTAAGAATACATTATTTTAGGATTCCTTTGAGAGAGATACTGTCATACTTACATAATGAACTCTGATTGCTACTTTTGCTCGTCAATTCAGAGCACTTAAAGTGTTATTTCTACTATTCAAAGATTAAGTAAATAAATATTTAGAAGCAGCAGAGGGCACTACTTAGATTCTTAACTTTGAGCATAACTAAAAATCCAGGTCACAATTGAAGTTAGTGGTCAAAAAATAAGATAAAAAAAAAACTTTTTCAAGCTTATTTATACCTATATTTTCAGTATCTTCTCCTATTTGTCTAATGCCATTGTGAGCCATCCAAATTGCTGTAATCCAGTGATAGATTTTGGTTCATAGTTGTTATTCAAAATTAGAAAAAAGAGTAACTAGTTACTATAAAAATAGCTTTTGGATCCTCATGACAACAATATTATTAGACCAACGGTAAACATAAAAGCCTCTGTACTTCACATTAGATCCTAAGCATCTGAATTAAATACGACTAAAATCATGATTTAAAAGCATGTGCTGAAAAAGTTCAGTGTCTTAACATGCAGAGTTATTGCAGTCTTATATTTAGCTTTAGAAGGAAAGTATTTTATATATGGTTTATAGGCTTCAAAAAGGCAAAAGGGCTGGATAAGAGTTGAAAAGAACAGAAGCCTCATACATTAATTCTTGATGAGAAAATAATTCTGTGGCACAACAGTTTTGTTTTGTGTTTTAACACTGAAAGACTACCAAGAATTAGGTTAAAACTTAGGGGTGCACCAATAGAGTTTTTGGGAGTTGATACCAATAGCTGGTTTTTTTAAGTTGGCATATCGGCCAATACCAATCCGATTTCCAATACAGCTGCATACAGCTAGTAAGTCTGTTGTGGTGGAAGCGAGGGGGAGAGAAGAGGCATGGGGGGTCAGATCAATGTCCCCTGTGGTGAGGGAGGGAGTGGGGCAGGGCATAGGTTGGAACCACGGTTCGTTTGGGGGGAATGGAGGGGGAGGCAACTCCCACCACTGCTTGTACCCTGGGAGGGCTTGGGGGGCATGTGCCCCCAGATCTGTGTGGAACAGGTGGGCAGCAGCTGTGGGCTGTACCAGGTTCTTCTCATTGGGGTTGGGCTTGGGGCAGGCAGAGGTGGCACTGGGAGGAAAGGGCTGGGGGGGAACTATGGTGAAATTTGGGTAGCTGCCCTCCCAAGCCCATCCCCCACAGAGAAGAACACGGTGCAGCTCTGGCTCCAGCCTGCAGCTGCAGCCTGCCTGCCCACCCTACCCTGCACAGATCCAGGGCAACACGCCCCCCCATACCCTCCTGGGATGCAAGCAGCGGTGGGAACCACTCCCACACCCTCCAGACAAGTCATGGCTCCATCCCACATCCCGCAGCTGGGCAGCATCTATCCCTGTCCCACTCCCTCCCACCCTCAACATGGGGGTATTGATCTGCCCCCTCCATGCCCCACAATGGACCTACCAGCTGCACGCAGCTTTCTATGTTGCAGGGCTCTGCTCCTTGCCACCTGCGTGCTGTGCTGTAGCTGCGCACACGTACAGGCATTTATTTGTGTGACAGCTAAAGGTGTTGTAGGGCTTGCTACCACTGCCCTGTGTTTGTTTTCCTACAGGTGGTGACAGGATGGACTTCGGCTTTGGATCACCTAGTCTGCCAGGAAATTGGTCTTGTGTTTCTTGCCTGCCACGACTTTGGTGAAATTATATTCCTAGGACGCACTGCCTGAGGTGATGCTGCCCAGTCTCAATCCCCGTTTTCTTCTGTGGGGCTCCAAACCTCCCATTTACCCCAGCCTACCCTTTCCAGATGGTACTCAAAGTCCTTCTGCAGCCAGGTCACAGTATTGTCTGTTATTCTGTTGTTCAGCCTTCTACCACCAGGGTGACTTTTGGCTTTCGTTAGGTGCACCCCTTCCAGGGCTGGTCTTGGCCTGGGCTCAAAATATCAAAAAAAGGAAAAAAACGAGAAAAACCCTGACTGTTCTCAGTTTCCTTGCCAGGCTCAGTTCATGTCCGCTTTCACCTGGGGTCAGGCTTTCAAAATCCCAATCGCAACAGCAAAACAAATCAATTAGTCTAGTTGCTGTTCTGCACAGGCCTGCCCAGCTCTCTTGTGAACATTCATAGTCCCAATGGGACCTCTCCCATGGGCAGCAAGGCTCTAACCTGGAACAGCAGTTTCCTCAGGCCTCTCCCTCAAGATCCTCAGCTGACACTCCACTCCAGATTTTATCAAAGGCTGTGTGTGTTCTCTCTTCTCAGATCCTCAGCTGACACTCCGCTCCAGAGATTATCAAAAGCCATGTACGTGCAGGCCTCCACCTGCCTCCTGCTCAGGGTCACTCCTGTAGCATTCCTTCACAAGTTTTGCAACCCCTTCCTGCCAAGACGTTCAGCCGCTCCTCTCTCCCTGCAGCCTGCAGGGAACTGACCCCCCTCCACCTCTCTCCGGGGCTGGAAATACCTCTCAGCAGCTTCCCTCCTCCAATCCGGAGTGAGATACTGCTCCGGAAGTGTGGTGAGTGTTTCTCTTCCCTTCCAGCCTCCAGCTGCAGCCCTGCTGGCCCTCCATGCTGTGAGTGTTGTTTGTTTTCATTCTCTCTGTCTATTGCTACAGGCTGCTTTTCTTCTCCTTACCTCCCCTGCTCACCATGTAAGGCACCTTGGGGCTTTCTTTGTTCTCTCTCACTCCTTCACAATTAGCCAAATTATCATCCGCATTGGGTTGATTTGCGATACAGCCAGTTTTCTTTATATCGGTGCCAATCTGATATTGGACCGATGTATCGGTGTACCTCTACAAAAAGTGATTTTCATGTGAGACAGTTCTGTGGACATTTTGTTAAAAAGAAATCTACATTGCACTATAAATTCATAGCAAAACATAAGCAGCCAGCAAAATCAACCTTAATAGAGCTTATGAACTCTTAAATAATCACCAGGATTTTTCAAAGCAATTGAAATAACTTCTGGGAAAACAATGCTGCTTCCTCATGCCATCGCCATTAGCCATAATAAAATTAGAGCTGAAAAGGATAAAAATACTGAATACATCCATAGTATAGTTGAATTAGAAGAATGATGTTGTTCTGATTGGTTACAGCAGAACATGAAGCATAGGACAACTGGGGAGAGGATATTATACAGTGTAGAGATGCAAATTATACTGTACTCCAGACCCTATAGAAGAAGAGGGAGAACTAACTAGCAGGACATTTCATGACACGGGACAGCAAAAGAATGAACGTTTAAGTAAAATGTTCTATAATGTGTATGGAATTCTATGTGGGTAGTTACAATGAATGCATATATTGAAAAGTCTATGTAAAATACATCTTCTGAAAAGGAAAATGGAACTTCCCAGTGTATCCTACATATGAGTTACCCGATAAGGGTATAAGGCTCTATTACTATTTGTGTTACAGTAGATTGTAAAGGCCCCAGTCAGTAAAATGTATAATATGGGCACTATCTATTACCTAGAAACAGTTCCTGCCTTATTCTAAGAGCTTACTCTAAGAGGAAAGAGATAGAGTAGAAAGAAAACACAGACACAGAGAGGTAAACTGACTTAGTGTGAAGTTAATAAGCAGATGAATAACAAATGCTAAAACAATAAAAACTGGGTGTCTCTGTTCATTGTTCAGTGCCCTTCCAGAAAACATTACTGCATCTCCAGTACTGACTCCTGCTGGTTGCTGAATGCCACTAACTGGCTGGGAGTGCTGTCCATTGTTCAGCCCCACACCTCACCCTTCCTGATTGGCAGAGAGGGGTGGGGCCACATGATGGATGGCCCTCTAATCCAATCAGTGGGGGGGGGGGGGGGACCCCC